CCTTTTTGGAGGATACAGTGTGCACAGTACATGATGTTACTTAGTTTAACCAAAGAAGATGGGAACTGAATTGTATAAATCTATGCTTGCAAGATTGTGTTAATCTAAAATTGATAATTGGTTCATTTATTTTGAATTAGTCAATTTAGTTAGCAGAGCTGACTACAATCTTTAAACAATGCCCAATAGGCATTTCTGTTGGTTTTAATAACAAACTTCATTGGTGTAAAGTAAACACGTGGTGGTGCTGCAATGATATGAACATTTTCAGCATTTCAAATATTAAGAGCATGTAAATCATTGCTTATCTGTAAAAAGCAATATAATGCAACCCTGCACTAGCAGAAAAAAAATGAATCATATTATAAACAATGTCTAAAAAGTATGTGAGCCTACATGAACACCGCTGACACATATTCTATAATATTCATGTATACTGTATAGTATATCACAGAGTTGATATTTGTTGGGGTGTACTTACTCGTTCATGGTAGTCAAACACATCCTGCCAGACAATAACTGTCTTGTTGAGGGCTGAAGTGATATTCACAATGCTGGAAATATATAATAATAGAGACATTAATGACATTTGTAACTTAAACATGTTGGTTGGTGTACATCCCCGAGCTTTTGATATTGCACAGTATGTTCCCCTTCACAACCTACGTCTCCATGTAGAATGCCTCCAGTTTGGTGAAGTCTACTCCAAATCCCATCTTCTGCATAAATGCTCGGACATCCGGGTTGGAACTCCTATGGAAATAAGCAGTGACAATCTTATTTTGTTGGTAAATTTAAAAACATGTACCTACATCATCTACCTTCCCCTTGCTTAAAAAAAACCCAATGCTAAACGATAAAAACAAATGTACAGATAATAATAATAATAATAATAATAATAATAATAATACATTTTATTTATATAGCGCTTTTCATAAAACTCAAAGACACTTTACATTAAAATCATCATATATAAAAGCAATACACTAAAAACATAAAATACACAATAGTGGTCACACATTAAAAGCAGTTTTCAACAGATGGGTTTTGATTTGAGATTTGAACATGGAGAGGTCAGTGCAGTCTCGGATGTGTTTGGGGAGAGAGTTGCACAGATGTGTGTGCAAATTCAGTAACAATATCAACAAACAATAGTGATCAAAACCAGGGCAAACAGTCAGCAGGAATTTAAATGATCCGTCACATTTCAACCTACCAGCAAGAAACGTCCACCTCATCCCCTCCTAAGTGGATGTAGGAATCAGGAAACACCGATGACACTTCCTTAAAGAGTCTCGCCATGAACTGGTAGGTGGAGGGTAACGCTGGATGAACAGGACCAAAAGCACCTGAAGGGGTGCTCCCGCTGTAGCAGGGAGTCAACAGGTCAGACTGCCCAAGGGAATAAATAAATCAATCAGATTTAGTTCAGCATTTTGGTAAAATACATTTCTTGTATTTTCTGTTGAGTGCAGACATTTGTTGCTACTGATGTATCCATACAAGTCCCATAAGAAGGGAGTCAAACACAAGATTCAGTATGTCGTTGGCATTTGTAGTCTTGGCTTGCAGGTTTGACAGGATTTCTGTTGGACCAAACCAGGCATAATGCCAAATACTGTATATGTTGAGGATCAAGGAGCTGGGATCATTTGGACAAAACAGTTGTTTAAGAGTAAATTTGACCTTTTCCCCATCATTTGGTGTGGCCGGGTGAATCAAACTCAGGAAGAACCCTTATTCCCCACAGCCTGGCATGTGAGATCACCCTTCTCACATCCGATTGTGTGTAGATGTGAGTCATTTGGATGGAAAGCCCCCTGAATCAGAGCCAGAAGTTTTTGTTCAGGATGGATGCAACTTTTCAGTATTTCAAATCATGAATCCACATGCAGTAGGCTAGTTAAGAATGTAGGATAATATAAAATAACCAAGTTATTATCATTAAAATACTGATAGATTTTCAAATTACAATGTGCAGAATGATGGTGCACATGAGTCTAGGTGGCTTGTTCGTTCTCATTACTTCATCCGCAAGACATACCTTACTGGAAAGGTCTGGAAAGGTCTGGAAAGGTCTGGAAAGGTCTGGCTCTGGTAAGGGAAGGAGGGGTCATCCACAATGTGCCAATGAAACACATTGAATTTACTGTAGGCCATTGCATCCTAACAAGAAAGATATATGTAAGCACCACTGAATGAAAACAGAAGGCTGAATTTCAGGTTATGTCATCTGTTTATTACTAGAGTTTCAAAATGTCCTTCACTGGTAAATAGTGACGTGAAGTGTCCAACAAAATTCCCCTGAACTGAAAGCTGTGGAAGTCGTCAATCTCAGCCTTGTTCACAAAATACTAAAAAGGAGAAACAAACGGTGAGAAAATGCTTGATTGATCTACTACAAACACAAATCAATCTTAATATCATGGTGACAATGTGTATTCAATAAGTAATAGCTTTAGAGAACTCATTGTACAATTCAGACTTACTGAGCCAAAATCATTTTGATACACCAGCTGACTGAAGGTTTCCAGACCTGTGCTTAATCAGAGGATATATAGCATATTATAAGCAATCAATTAAAGCTGCACAGATAACAGTGGGAGATCAGTTATTAAACTTTGGGTGGAGTGAGGAATCCAGTACAACTTGCTAACAGGCTTTGATGGAACCATAGCCTTTCCTTTGCTAACTGTAGCTGATTGTTAAAATGCCTGTTTTATTCATGTGTACTTTGGTACACATGTGTTTTTTCACCTCTTAATGCACCCCACACGGTTTCCGCATTCAGTGATGCTTGTCCTGCAGAGACACTCAGATTATCTTAAACACAAATAGAAGCAAGTTAGATAAATGCATCAAACCCCACTGATTGGGAATGGTCTTTGCCACTGTGACCGTTGCATGTCATGTTCTGTCTCAGATAAATGTGTTGATACTTACATCTCTCAGATGAGTCCTCATTTGGGTAACTCTCACAATCATCATGGTCAACAGGGATCTCAATGTTAAATGGTTTATCCTCAAAGAATCGCAGAACACCATTTCCTGTTGATCATAAAAGTGAGATTATCACAGTTTGTAGTTTTGTAGGTCTGTGCATGAAGTATAGTTTATCTTTTTAATTTTAATTATACTTCATGCACAGATCGTTGTAGAAGTGCATATGTTGCCTTTGCACTCTCATTTTGACAATGTTACAGTAAGACTGCCATTATTCTATAAATATGGTAGTTTTTAAAACACAAACATTACGCTGTGCTGTACTGGCCCATTGTCATTGAGGGATTTTAGGGTAGGTAGGCCTACACGGGCTGACTGATGAACTGCTGTCTCTACAAAGCCCATTGATCTTCTTCAAAAGCCGACATGACAAACAGAACATTCAAAACCAAACCAGTGAGCATTTTGTTCTACATTTGTGTGCATCCATTATGCAATCTTACATGTATGAATCTTCAGATCATCACACTCCTAATGTTAACACTACAATTTAAAATGACAGGATTTACATGCATAGTTTGAACATTGTTTGTGTTTATAATGACATATTCATGGCACAGCAAATTCTGGTCCTATGATATATAACATTTCAGCGTATAGGGCGCACTAAAATGTAAGTGTCTGCTGAGTTGACCACGGAGATCTGAGTGTCTGCTCACTTGACCACAGTGATATATAGGCATACATGCTGTCGCAATAAATCATACATATTTGAATCATAGAAACCCTTTGTTAATATTTTACCATTTTTGTGAGTATGACTGGACCTTTTAACTCCCGCAATAGTCTTTAAGACACCTCACTTTATCACTTACCAGTGTAGTCTGGAAAGATAAGAGAAAAATATCTCATGAATGCGGAATCCAGAACAGAACAGCCCTGCTGTGCGCCTGACTGTCTTCCGTATCCAAAGCCTGAGGGTTCAGAGGGTATCGCTCGATTGAGGAGGTGAAAGTCTGCGGTAATGGCCACACTCCCTCCACTGTGTGTAGGCCAAGCGGGAGGATAATAAATAAAAATGTGGACGAGTATATCGTCCAAAACTAACCATACACACAGCTTCCATCCTACTCCACTCAAAGGCAAACTGCACTGTGACGCTGCGCCAGTCAGGTGGACAAGAGCATGAAGTCACATGACTGGGACCACAAGGTATGGGTGATTTTATCTTTTTATTATTATTTTATACTAAAGGTAAAGTAAATGGTTTATACGGTTTGCAACTGTCGTATATCTATATTTAGTTATTGTATACTTACATAACACACAACATTAATTCTACATTAACGTAATTCAGTTCTACACTGCCTCTGATTTTAAAGTTGGCTCGGATAGAACTTATTAATGAGGATAGTAGTAGAACATGGCAGAAAGTTATAATAAAGAAAACAAAATCATTGAAGAGAGAAGTTGGAGAATACTGTGTATATAGTCAGAAGCATGCAGAACACTACCCTACAAAATCCTTTTATGGAAATGTCGAGCTCAAGGAGGAGAGCAAAATGTTTGGGTCGGGTGAGTTGGCAACAAGTAGGCCCATGCTAGATGGTGGTTATTTTTCAGCCATGTTCTTCATATATGTGTTGGAACAATATGCTTATTTAAAAAGGTAAATACTTATCCAAGTAGCCTTTACTATTCCCAGTAAATACAAGGAGCAGTATTCGTTAGGCCTAACATAAAAAAACAAAACAAAAAACTGTTACCCAGTAAATACAGGTGTACCAATGGCTCGATGGGTCCAGAACATCAGACATGACTCCAGATGTATCTAAGCGTGTATGGAGATACTTATTATCCTGACACTGCAGTGTGTCGGAGAACCAGGAAATGTCGTATTAGGCTCTACATATATAATAATAGCATGTGGTCAGTTATTCTATCTCTCAGGAGATCACCCCAGCCAAGTCTTTTAGTTGCCACAATCACACAGAAGAGGGCGCTAATCGGACAAACAAGCGCATCGGAAGCCCGCAGAAGAAGTGGAATAACCCGGAAGTAGGCGGGACTTTGGTTCTGTAGAAGAAGCTCTCGGTGCCGCAGGCTCTGGTTCTGTCTCTAGCCGATCAACATGGTCCAACTGGTTGGTTCCCTCCGAAAAGAGCTCTCTGACACCCTCTCCACTTGCAAGGTGCTGGTGGTGGGAGCAGGGGGGATCGGCTGCGAGCTGCTGAAGAACCTCGTCCTCACCGGCTTCAAACAAATCGAAGTGGTCCGTCATACTTATGTTTGTGTGTGTGTGTGTGTTAGCTAGCTAGCATGCTAGGTCTTTGTGCTGCACAGACTGCGTCTGGGGGGCGGACTCGGGCTAATTCCTGGGAGGGGGTGTTCGAAGAAGTAAAACATACGAGTGTTAGTGGTGGTTTTGTGATGCACCCCCTCTGTCCCCGAGTTCTTGGTTAAATGAGCAGGCCCGACTTTGAAGTCGGTAAAATATGAACACTGCTGTAGCAACAGTAGCTGGAGCGTTTGGCGCCATCTGCACCGCTAGGTTAGCCTCACAACTTCTTTAAAATGAGACGGCTAACGAGGCGGCCGGCCAAATAGCACAGACACACTTAGACGCCCCTTTGTTTAATTATGTCAGGTTATGTAATGCTGCAATTTTTAAAGTTTAATGTAGTCTGTCGGAGCAGCACGTGTACTCTTATTATTAGTTGTGGCTGTTTTTTGTTTTCGAGGATCAGCCGTCAGGTGTTTGAAGCTGAGAATCACTGGATCCCAGTGAAGGGTTCAGAGACCTCTAGGTGTCATTAAAGGTTGCTAGTAAACTGAATAATAGATAAATGCTCACCAATATTTATTTTTTCCTTTCCTGACTTATTAAATCAGATGTCTTTTGTGTCCTTTCAAGACAGAGCTGAAAACAAGCAACGTTCATGGTCAAACAATCTGCACAACAACACATCCTGAGCCAGGCAAACAACAATCAGGGACACTAATAACATGAACATGAAGTTCATAAACTTCCGATATTGGGGCTTTAAACTCTTCAAGTGGACTGACAGAATATACAGTAGCTGGTGGGCAGTTTGTAGCTCAGTAATTTAGAATGTTGCTATCGGTGTTTGTATGGAGAATGCCTTAATTATGTAGTGGATTGTGAGTCACCATATGCACAGGCTGACATTATTTTAATATCCAAATTATAATCTAAATACATTGCTGTGACAGCGCTTGAGTGACAGGTCAATTGTGTCCGTCATGTCATGTCATGACGTTATTTCCCCTTCTGTATCGGCAGATCGACTTGGACACAATTGATGTCAGCAACCTGAACCGCCAGTTCCTCTTTCAGAAGAAGCATGTTGGCAAGTCCAAAGCACAGGTAATGCAAACATCAGCGTTAACCCCCGTCGCCGTAGCCTTGTTTTTATGCGTTATAACGTTGTGTCGTGTCGAACAGCCCTGCAATATGCACCCTGTATTCCCTGTAGTTCCACACTGTGGACTAGATCGTTGTCGGCGTGCTGTTTGCACGTTTCTGACTCAAGTCGGCTGCTCCGTCCCTGTTGTTTTTGCAGGTGGCCAAGGAGAGCGTCTTGCAGTTTTGTCCCACTGTAAACATCACCGCCTACCATGACAGCATCATGAAGTGAGTTTTTTTTTGGTTATTCCTCCTTTTGATTCACTGAATAAATTAAGAATTTTATCAGATTGTCCTTTTGATTTGGAACTGATTGTGTCTATTTTTTTTAACAGCCCTGAATACAACGTGGAGTTCTTCAGAAAGTTCATGCTGGTGATGAATGCTCTGGATAACAGAGGTATTTTACAGGCGGCGGTTTGTGTTACTCCGAACTAGGGCTGGGCGACAACACAATATGATCATTTATCGTCTTTCAGTGGAATCATATTGTGACCAAACCCGAGATACTTCGTCTAAATTGACAATAACCAGCACATAATAATTTGTCAGAAAAATCAGAATCGGTACTTTTCATTTGTCAAGTATTTAATTCACACGTGTAAACAAAAAATAGGCTTTACATGCGGCTATTTCATATTCATTTTTTTAATTACCAGAAAACATATCGAGATTATTACTCATTATGGAGACATGAAAAGACCTGATGAACACATTCTGTCTCCGTAGCGGCCCGTAACCACGTGAACAGGATGTGTCTGGCAGCAGACATCCCGCTGATAGAGAGCGGCACCGCCGGATACCTGGGACAGGTCACCGTCATCAAGAAGGTAGGACACGCCCATCGTTGTGTTGCCTAACCTCCGTTGCATAGATCGTCCCTCGTCTCTCATCGCATCTCTTGTCTCCCCCTTCTCTCATTCCCTCCTGCTCCACTCTCTCCTCGCTCCCCAGGGAATGACGGAGTGCTACGAGTGTCAACCCAAGCCCACCCAAAAGACCTTCCCAGGGTGCACCATCCGAAACACACCGTCTGAGCCCATTCACTGCATCGTCTGGGCCAAGTACCTCTTCAAGTAAGGCCCATTCTCATCACAGCCGCGTATGAGCGTCATTCACGACAAACCCTCACTCGACCGGCCCCTGACAATAGAGGCCAGTATGCTAATGCTATGCTAATGGTCCCCTTGTATCGTTTGTCTGTTGCCACTATAGTCAGCTGTTTGGGGAAGAGGACGCAGATCAAGAGGTGTCCCCCGACACAGCGGACCCAGAGGCTTCATGTGAGCGGCAGCGTGGCATTGCTTTTGTAGAAAATGGTTTATTTGCTCTATATTTGGGGCAGCACTTTGTAACTTTGAAGTTAGCTTGTTGTTGCTACAGTTTAGGAATACACACGCACCAGACACTGTAAAACGTGTGTGTGTGTGTGTTCTGTAAACAGGGAATCCCGAAGACACGCCAGCTCACCCCACGGCCTCAGAAAAGGACGGGGACATCAAGCGGATCTCCACCAAGGAATGGGCCCGCTCCACGGGATACGACGCCGTCAAACTGTTCAACAAGGTCAGAGACGGTCCGACAAATCAAACCTGCAGGACTGTTTCAGAATGATCATAAAAAAAACAACACACAAGCTAAAGCTTTGTTTATACTAGCGCGGGACACCACCGTAGCGCGAGCCTCCACAGGCGGCACGTGAGCTACGAGCACACAAAGGCGTCATGCTTGGCGAGCTGTTCGTTGGATTATTTGATTTGGCTGGCAGAATATGAACTCAAATATAGATTTTTTTTTTTTACAACCTCCTGAAAAACAATTTGTCTTTGTAAACTCCTCAGACGTGTAAACCGTGACTAAGCTGCTACGTCGTAATTTTCTGGCCCGCGCACCGGCTTCATTGTGGCAAGTATAAGCGCAGCTTAAGCAATGCCTTCATCTGTGCTCCTTTGACATAAACAGTCATTTCACCTTTCAGTACAAATGGGCTGGTCTACCGCTGCTTCAGTCACTTGTTGGTGTTGTGCGACTTTGGTGTTTTTAAAGTGTTCGTTTGGATTCAATGGAGTCCGCTGGCTTTGAAGAGAGCATGAATAACTTCTTCAGTCCCTCGTTTTAAAGGGCGACTGCAAGATAAAGCGGTGAAGATATTAAATATAGCGCGGCGTTCTATGTTTTTGCAGATTTGTGTTGGTTTTAGTATCGAGTGTGTTTGCATTTACCGTTGTAACTAAGAAGGGCTTACTCACATCCTGCAGCTCGTAGCATGGGAGGGTTTCATGTAGACAGCAGAGCCTCTACCGTTGTCAAATAATGGAAACCGAGTCAAAGTGTTTTCTTGTTCTTTGACTTTTACATATTGGAGTTTAAATCTGTTTTCACTGGCGTCCTACTGGAGACGAACCGTAGTGCCGGTAGAACACAAGCACCAGCTTTCATGGGTCAAAGATTAGACATTCAGGGAGCCAGTTGTAACATGCGGATGGAAAATATACTTTCAGTTTGTGATTTAATCAGTACCGTCTATTATTACCAAAGGCATACAGTAACCAGCTTTGTTCCGATTGGCTCTTCTCTCCAGCTTTTCAAAGATGACATCAAGTACCTGCTGACCATGGACAAGCTGTGGAAGACGAGGAAAGCTCCTACACCTCTGGACTGGCAGCAGCTGAAGAACAGTGGTACGTCTCTTTAAACCTTTATGCCACTTTAGCTTTCTGGTTAAATGCAGTTTGGGGACTCGTCTCCGCCCCGTTCTAGCAAAATTGTCTCCAGCAACTGCCGTTAATAATGATGATGATTAAAACCCCTGTAACTCATCATATTATTGCCGTGGTAGTTGTTTATTCGTTTGTTGTGTTCATCTGTACTTGTTTGTGCGTCCCAGCGTGTCCTCAGGAGGTGTCTGTGGGTTCGGGTCTGAAGGACCAGCAGGTTCTGGGTGTTTGGGGTCTCTGCCAGCTGTTCCAGCACAGCGTGGAGACTCTCCGCTCACAGCTGAAGGAGAAGGGAGAAGCAGCCGAGCTGGTGTGGGACAAGGTAACGCACAAGCACAGACCGAAGGAGGCAATGTTTGCAAAAGTTCCTCCAGAAAGACACCGACAGACACATTTGTGTTTAATTGTAAAACCTCAAGAAGCTTCAAGTCTTGTTGACCGTTTCAGGTTTCTTAAACGGAATACACAGCCGTAGTGTAAACATCAGTGACACACACACACACTGTGTCGGTAATGGCTCATGTGTCCCTTTGTTCCCAGGATGATCCCCCAGCCATGGACTTCGTCACTGCTGCAGCCAACCTACGCATGCACATCTTCAGCATGAATATGAAGAGTCGCTTCGATGTGAAGTGTAAGTCGCGTCGTTTCGACAGGAGAATTTGGTCACACTGCAAACTATCGTGTAGAATTTGCTGTGTTTTTAAGTAACCAACATATTGTACATGATGTGAATTAGTTCTGTTATACACTTATAGCGCACATTAAAAAAAGCCCCTAATTTTAGTTTAAATTGGTCTGTTTGTTTTGTTTTGTTTCAGCCATGGCGGGTAACATCATCCCCGCTATTGCTACGACCAACGCGGTCATCGCTGGACTCATTGTGCTGGAGGGTTTGAAGATCCTGTCTGGGGAACTGGAGTCCTGTCGTACGGTGAGTACCAGGCGTCCACGACTGGACATCAGCACTTTAATTATAGAGACATGATTGTTCATATCTCATTCATAGCCTGATTTATAGCACATTTTATTCCTAAAACATTGAGGAAATAGATTTAAAAAATGGTGTTCATTTTTGGCTCTTAATATCTCAACATAATGAAAACAAGAATTTTTCACTGAGTAGTAAAGAAGGCCAACTGATGACTGCCATGTTGCATGAGCAGTTTTCTGTTTAGTGCGGAGGAAAAGGCTTCAGACCCAGAACTTGGGCTCAGAGTAGAATCCTTTTCTGCCGGCTCTCGTCGTGTCTCCATGTGTCATGTCGGTCGCCGTCTGTCTCTCCTGCAGATCTTCCTGAACAAGTGTCCCAGCCTCAGGAAGAAGCTGCTGGTCCCGTGCATCCTGGATCCGCCCAGCGCCAACTGCTACGTCTGCGCCAGCAAACCTGAAGTCACGGTCAAGCTCGACGTCCACAAAACCACGGTGCTCTCTCTGCAGGACCGGGTAATACGACGGGCTTGTTTTCACACATCCACCAACCTGCCTCAAGTCCACTCATTCGCAAACAGCCCGAACAGCTCTGATGTGATTTTGACAACTCTTTGAGTTATTAACGCTATTAAAACAGTCCTAATGGAGCGCCACAGCTTCAGTTCAAATGAAAAGGAGGCCGTTGGCCTAAGCAGCCGGAGAAAAGCCTGTATTTCTATAAAGGACAATGCAGCACGTAATTGGTGAGAGGCGGTTATTGCGGTTGGATTGTAAAAGTTGCTGTGGGATCAAGATGTTGACTGATCCTCACTTAGTCGTTGTTGACCTGATGTTTCTGTATGTTTTGATCAGATCCTGAAGGAGAGGTTCGGCATGGTGGCTCCAGATGTTCAGATAGAGGACGGAAAAGGGACCATCCTCATCTCCTCGGAGGAAGGAGAGACGGAAAGTAAGCGGGGGGGAGATGGGAAGCAATGCATCACACTCTGTGACTCTCCATTCGGACAGAGGAGGGCGCTGTTGCTGCATCTGTCTGTTAGTCCATTGCTCAAACTGGACAGTGACGAGGAGATTAAAAAAGCATTTAGTGAACAGCACCCTGACACCGTTAGTGCTTTTGGAAGGGTTTGTAATTATAGAGTTGGAGATGGGCGGTATTGGATATATATATTTCGAGAGTGGGGGGTTGTTCATTAGATTAATGTAACCTGAATGCTTAGTTATTAAAAATGTGTGAATGTATTGTGGTTTATGGTCTTAAAAACATTTGTTTCGGAGGTGTTGGGGGAAGAGTTATTAATAAATGGATTGTCCCCACGTGTATAGTATGACAAACACATTGAGTGTGTGTGTGTAACTCTCTCCACAGCCAACAACAGCAAATTTCTTGCTGATTTCGGGATCCGTAACGGCAGCCGCCTCCAAGTCGACGACTTCCTCCAAGACTACACACTCCTCGTTAATGTCCTGCACACGTATGTCCCTCCGGTCATTCCATCGTGCGAATAAAATGCTTTGCTTTACATTGTTACGTTGACATTGTTGAATGCACTCATGTTTAATCTCTAATGTGTTTTATTGTTCTGGTGACTTTCAAGTGAACAAAACTCCTAAAAGCTATTTGTTTGCCTCTCCATTGGCAGCGAGGAGCTAGAGAAGGACGTGGAGTTTGAGGTTGTAGGCGAGGCCCCGGATAAAGCTCCGCCCCCTCAGACTAACCAGGAGGAGGTGAACAGCATCACCAACGGCAACAAGGACTCCGCCCAGCCGTCCACCTCCTCTAAAGGTCAGCGGGAGAGAAACCGTTTTCCTTTTACTTCACATCAGAGTGCTGCGTGTTTAGTTTGCTCCTGTCTCTGTAACTACAGTGAGTAGGGAGATGTGTGTGTTTAATGGCCTTGTTTTATCTGTGGCGATATCAGATCTGTGGATCTGAAGGTGTATCAGAAACAAAGACACAGCGTGTTGTTATGCCGATATATAATCTTTCATTCCGGCAATCGTGAGGCCAACGGTGGAAATATAGCGTTCACGTTTCAGACATTAAGTTGTTCGTTTTTCCACCTGTGAACGCTGTTGTCCACCACCTTTCAGCTCCAGCGGAGGACGATGACGTCATGATCGTTGACTCTGAGGAGGAGGAGGAGGAGGAGGAAGGGGCGTCGTCCAGCACTGCACCTACAAGCGGCACCAAGAGGAAGCACCCAGACGCAGAGACCGGCGAGACCTCCACCAAGCGCCCGCGGACGGACCAGTCGAGCGCAGCTGCTGCCCCCGCCGACAATGACGACGACGACGATGACATCATCGCTCTGGACTAACCCCCCCACACACACACACACCCACACCCCACCCCTCTCTCTGGTCCCCCTGAAGGACTGAGAACTCTTTGAAGGCTTATCATTTGTAAGTCAGGACTGACAGTAGGTTAAATTAAAACACCTCTTTCATGGAGAACATTGGACAGCCCTCGTTCGCCTCTCGTCACTTCCTCCCTCGCCCTGTGTTTGTGCTTTCATACCCCCCCTCCCCCCCGCTCTGACACGATGCTGTAAATAGATTCTACATTTTAAACACGTACACGTACAACTTCTTTTGTTATTCATTTCTGCTCCCTAAAAAAAAATATCCTCTCGATGGTTTAAAAACAAGTCTATTTTTGTTTGTTTTTTGTATTTTTTATAAACGTAATGTATTTGTCATGCTACACAAATCAGGGTGTTTTTGTGCTTTGTGTTCGGGTAACAAAAGATGTAAAAAAAACATTTTCAAGGGTTGTAATATGTTGTCTCAGTCGTTTGTGAAGGGACGGTAACGGACGGACCCCAGGAGTCTGCAGCGTCTTGTCTGTTGATGTCCGTGTTTGGCCACGTTGTGCCGTGGGGGCGTTAGTTTGCTACCTCTTTTCTAGAACAAGTTTTTGGCTGCAAATTCATAACCACGCCCTCTATGACGCCGCCACAGCGAAGGCTATGGAGCAGGACAGCGGCACTAATGCAGCGCCCTGTGGACCCGATCCTGATCCAGGCTGGTAGTAGTTCAGTGTTAACATGTTAGTAATAAGACTCGTTTGTGTTTGAGCAGAGAGGTCTTGAGTCTGGCGGCCCTCCTTTTTCACACTGCAGAGGTTGATCGGGATGGCAGTGGAGCCCCGCACTGAAGTGACATAAGAACCTCTTGCACAAAGTTCCTGCCGACTTCTCCTGTGTCACACTTTCCATAATTTAATATTTCATTGTGATCTGATTTGTTGTTGAAAGGCTGTGAGAGCCCTGTGGACCAATTTGGACGAAAAGACAATAAACTCAACAAAGGCACAGGCTTCTCGTATTTTTTTTTTTTATTTGTCTCTTCCATATTGATAAAAAAAACGTATACAATAATCGTACATGTCTTGATTACATTACATATCTATCCCATTGTTGACTGGAGAGGGAAAATAACCCAAACACATAGTTTCTTTACGTGGCCAGTTTCTATAGTGTTGGACTTTAAAATTATTTTGAGAGCCTGTTTATCTTGACTCTGTGTTCTGGTTCAGAAAGTGACCTGAAGTAAACACACTAAAATAACATGCTGAATGTTTTCTTGATCTTCTGAATAGTTTGTTTGCTTCAGGGGTTAAAGTCTTACAGTCATGAGGTCTGCTCCGGACAGCGTGTGACATTCTTTGAGTAGACTACCCATGATGCAACACTACGACCCACAGCTCACAAACACACACATACACTCAGACGGCACTTTATTATCAACGATTGATTTCAAAATATTTGACTTGATGAAACGTCAATGCTCTGACTGATGAGTCAAAGTACGGGACAAAGATGAATGCAATGCAGCTGACATTAGACGGTGGTGTCCAGACTCACTGGGAACATGTTCACAGGCTCTGGTTCACAGGACACTTGACTATACTGTACCAGGACTAGGCAGGTCAAGTATATTTCTTTAGCATATTTCATACACAAAGGCGATTTAATGTGCTGTACATACAATAATACATTCAAAAAGAACAGCTGCATAAAAGCAGGAAAATGGGAAAAAAATAAATCTTTTTGAAGGAAATGAAAAAGAATGGAGGTCTGTAAATACAGGGCAGGTACATATGTAAGAGCGATGTGGTTAATGAAAGCACAGATGTTACTTATGATTGATAAAAAGTGACTGTTCTATTTAGGTGGAAGCAACAAGGTGCATTTACTCAATTACTGTACTTAAGTACAATTTTGAGGTACTTATACTCTGTATGAGTATTTCCTTTTTATGCGACTTCATACAAAAACACACCTTTTTAGCCCATTATACTTATCTGATATGATTTATTGTTTCAGATGAAACCAACCACCAGTCTATGAAGTAGATCAAATTTGCTTCTTTTGCAACATTTAAATGCTGGTTTCATATTTAAAGCAGCAGTTGGAACATAACTACGACATACATGATATTAAAGCAGAATGAAGCGGGCCATTCTGCATAATGAGTACTGATACTCTTCATACTTTAATAAAATATTGCTGATACTACTTTCACTGCAGTAAAATGTTGAATGCTGACTTCTAATGACGTATAATATACAGACAATTTTATTTAAAGCAGAAATACTACAGTGTTGTGTACGCTCATTCCACCACGACTGAAAAGCAGAGTTAATACAATGATTTTTTTTACAGGAAAACAAAAGTCTGGATAAAATAAAGGAAAAATGGCTGTAGTTAATATAGTCGATATAAAGTTCATAATAAGGGGTTGAATGAGTTGCCCAGTTCTAGTTATTCTGTATTATTATGTTTTACATTGCTATTATTCAAATGTGTTATTACTATAACTAACAGTACGGGATTGTGATGATGACTACGATTGTGAAATATATATACATATATAATTAATTCGTATTTAAAAACAGTTTCCAGACTGTTCTCAACTGTCTCCATCATCACCACCACTAAGAACGCCCCTCAGTGGAGGGCGCTGATTGGTCAGGACAGTGCCTCCCCCCCTTCCGTACTGCAGAGCAAACTGCTTTCCTACAGCGGCCGCCGCATCTCATCATCTGTCGGGTGTCTGGTCCGGCGAGAACACCGTTTAACCGGGTTAAATTGACGCAATAGCTTCAGGGGAAACGGTTGTTGTTCTTTTTGCGGTCCCATTTTGAATGTGTGTAAAGCGAAAGCCTGCCCCCTCCCCCGCCTCCAGGCGAACGTTAGGAAGGCAGGCAGAGACGAGAGGAGAGCCGCCAGCCCACAGTTTTTGTTTTTGAACGTGCTCCGTGCAGAGAGCTAACTTTTGGTTGCGTGAAGAAGACTGACGTTAAAGCTAACCGCTAGCCGCAAATAAAACAGCGCCACGAAACACGTTAACGCGCTTCTTTTTTCTTCTTCCGCCGCTAGTTGGTGAAGCTTTTATCAACATGGTGACTTTTTCGTCCCTATTAAGACCTCTCGCTTCACAGCTCCGCAGACAGCTCGTCAGACGCGCCGAGAGTCCCCGGATAACGCCCGCCAGGAGATGCAACCTCACGGCGTGCTCAAGCAAATATGTGCTGTCGCAAAGTAAGTACTTGTGTGTCCTGTCGCCGCTCTAGCGACACAATGTTTATCGTGTTTAGCTGCTTCAAAAGGAGACATTTTAACTTCCGACATTACCACCAGCAGTGTAGGTGCGAGTATCTGTATCCCCCGTGGCAGTGGTTTGGGTTTTTAGGGTGTCATTGACAGTGAGAGGCCCGTCATTGTGGGTCACACGCAGCATCAGTTAATGGTCACTTTTGTTGTCATCCCAAAACGTGTGCATTGAGAGCATTGGAAAGCCCGGGTTGGATCCGTCCTCCTCACTGGATCGGGATCAGACGCGCTCTGTTGACTCGTTTGACACGGAACTCCGGCTCCAGGTTTTCCAAACGAGGATTAACGTCCATATAGGGGCCACATGAGGCCTACATTGGGGCCCATATGTCAAGTCAGTACATTATATTAGAGTGTTAGGGATGGTGTGTTCTAATGCACACAGAACATTCAAAGCCTGTTTTTGCCAACCCGGAAGGCCAACCCGGAAGTTAGCATCGCACTGGTTCCCTCTGCAAAAAGCGAATGGGATTTTTCCTTATCATTTTGTATTATTGAAAAAAACAAAACAAGCTACACCACTTTTATGAATTTTGGAGCATGAATATAATGGTCAGAAGTAGAAATCTAATGTTAGACTACACGCAAACTACAACACGGATGGCCACCTGTTGGCAACTGCTGTTTTTGAAAACACCAGTGGGCTATTTACTGATGTACAGTATTTTATGTCGTGGAACTAAACATTAAAATGTCTTAAGCTTGTGTTAACCACAGAACTTGTTTCAGGCATCTAACCAAAAACACTGAACTGGAAGTGCAAAAACGCGGACTCATTTCTGTTTTTTTTTTTTAGACTTATTCCTGCACCACCCCGGAGCAGCTAGATGGATCATGTAACATACAATGTTAAAATTCCCCAAAATAAATGGTGCATTGATAGGATGGACCCTTAGTCATGATAAACCTGTTGCATGCAACTTTATGAGCGGTTATTTCCTTTACACATTCGACCTCTGGTGTCAGTCATTTGCCTTCATGTTAACGTGCCCACGGAAAATTGTAGACACCCAAACCCGTCTGGCAGGTCCCAGCAACGTCCTCACCACACCCAATAACACGGGCCTTGTCTCGTTCACCGTCTCATGCCGACAACAACCTCAGTCAACATGCAAAAAAAGGTTGAAAATGAAAAATAAAAGAAGGCCAGTGCAGTAGAACTTTTATGTTCAGCCATGATAATAAACCGAGTTCATATTTAACTTTAACAAGCTTGTTGTAATGGGCACAGCCTGTCCAAAACTTTATAGGAGGACTTCTGGTTTGTCTTTGAAGTGGTCTGCTAGAAATGAGCTTTCTGTCCGTCCAGTGGCCTGCCCTTTGATCCGTCCTCATGCTATCTTTCTTTGTAAAGAGACATCTCTGTTTTCCCCGTTCGTCAGGTAGAAACATCTGACTCACAGTCTGTGCTTCCCTGAAGTGGGGAGTTATACTGCCGTCACTTTAACATGCAAGCCTCTCTCATAAAGGTTCCTCCTTCAGTCAAAACAACAGTCAAACAACTTAATTGTTGTCTCTAATGATGTCTGTGCACATGCAAGTAACTGCGTCAACTCACAATACGTGTAATATTTAGATACCTAAATATGACTAATGCAAGAAAATGAGAAATGTATGTATTTGGGGGTGCACGTTTTGCTGTTTGTTGCCCCTATTTATTTATATGTTGACAACCAAAGGCCAAAAATGGTCAAAATGGTTTCCAATTGCAACTGTTGCTGTCGTGCCCGGCATTTATAAAATACGGGCTTTGGAAAAAAAATGTAAATGACTCCTCCTTTTAAACCAAAGCCGTGTCTTGTGCTAAACTAACTGGCTCAGCACTTTTGTGTCTGTAAAAAGAGCTCTTTCTTAAAGGCTGTTCATCTCTCTGCCGTTTGTGTCTTCTGACTGAATCTCTGCTTTTCCACACCTGTGCTCAAGTTCACACACTCAGGCTGCATTCACACCAAATTTCGGTGCGGTGGATCGTCGGTGGTGTTTTTCCACCAGGCCGTGAACATTTGTATTTCTGCTGTAAAGTTGGGCATCTTTACTTTGTTTTGAGGCTAGCCTCAAGTGGTCATTTGAGGAACTGCAGTTTTTTTGGCGCTTCAGTTTGGGCTTCATCTCTCGGTGACGAAGGTTGCCACTTGGTGAAAATGCTAGTCCTCTCATTCATTGTGCGAATGTGTGGTCTGGGCCGGTGGGGGGGGGGGGGGGTGCTGAAAAAAAAGACGCCGCTGCGGTGGCAGATCACGTAACTGGCGATGAAGAGCTGTAAAACCCTGCCATAATGACAAGCAAAAAAACAACAGCCCGCAGCAGTCACTTGGTGTTAACTGGCCCTTAAGTGCCACTCCCACACCGCCACACAACCCTGCGCTAAAACCGCTGCTATGCCTGGCTCGGTGTGACTGTAAACTCTAGATCTTGACGTTATTACCTCCGCTTTCCTTCAGCCCTTTCAAATCTGAGTTCATTTACTCCTAACCCAAACCAACGTTTCCTGATAATGTTGCTTCACACTAATGATCGTCCTCAGAAGGTGTTAGTTGTGAAGCAGCTGATGGACGTTCGATGTATCACCGAAACCGAGGAACTCTGTTAATGGTGCTATGGCAGGAATCAGGCTGTCGATGCAGGAGCCACAGCTGGCGTTTCAGAGCTCCTCACACACACACGCTTGTCATTTTTCCAATTCGAGACATCTGGCG